TTATGTTTTCTATTTCTTTGCTGAGACGTTCCGTGTGTTCACTTATCACAAGCATCTTCATAATTGCCCATGGAAGTATTTTTATAATGGCTGCTTTAAAATCTTTGCCAGAGAATTCTAAAATTTCTGTCATATAGTATTAATATGTATTAATTTTTCTTGTTACTACTGAATGGGAGTAGAAGTTCAGGTTTCTCACTCAGCCTCCACTGACAGCTGTGTGTTAAGTGCTCTCTGTTATTGCTCAGCAGGACTGTGATTTCCAGCTCCTCACATGGGCTCTGCTGACACTAGAGGGGGTGATCTCTTTATCACCAAGCCATAGTGAATGTCTTGACTCCTCTAGTTTTCATTTAACCTCTAACCAATGGAGAGAGGATGACTATCTCATAACTGCTGAATGTGATGTAAGCTCAGGTACTTCAGGTACTCCTCACAATTTTTGCTGATACGCAAAGTATACAGTCCCAGCTCCCTGCTTGACTTTCTCTGATATCACCTTTTTGAGGTGGTATTGGGTTTCTTTCTACAGCCACACAAGGGTGAAATCTAAGTTTCCATTTGGTCCCTGATGGCATGGTGGCGGGGAGGGGTAGTATGGGAAAGAACAGGGACCACAGATTTTTTTCATGGTGTTTGGCTGAAGTGAAGAGATCATTGCCTAAATATTTTTTGAAAGACTTAATGAACTTTAATAAACCAATTAAGTGTTTTAAATTTATTTTTCTTTTTATATTCAAGTGTGGGTTTGTTATACAGATATATTGCACAATGCTAAGGTTTGGGCTTCGATTAAACGCATCACTCAAATAGTGGCCACAGTAGAAAGTAGGTAGTTTTTCAACTCTTGTCCTACTTCCTCCCTCTTTTGGAGTCTCCAGTGTCTATTGTTCCCATCTTTATGTCTGTGTGCACCCAATGTTTACCTCCTACTTATAAGTGAAAACACATGATAGTTGTTGTTTTGTTTCTACGTTTTGGTTTCTGTTTCTTATTTTTTTAAGATGGAGTTTTGCTCTTGTTGCCCAGGCTAGAGTGCAATGGCGCAATCTTGGCTCACCGCAACCTCTGCTTCCTGGGTTCAAGTGATTCTCCTGCCTCAGTCTCCCAAGTAGTTGGGATTATAGGTATGCACCACCACGCCTGGCTAAGTTTTTGTATTTTTAGTAGAGACAGGGTTTCTCCATGTTGGTCAGGCTGGTCTTGAACTCCCGAACTCAGGTGATCCGCACACCTCAGCCTCCCAAATTGCTGGGATTCCGGGCATGAGCCATTGTGAACAGCCTTGGTTTTTGTTTCTTCGTTCAATATTGGATTTAAAAAATGTGGTACACATACACCATAGAATACTATGCAGCCATAAAAAAGAATGAAATCATGTCCTTTGCAGCAACATGGATACAGTTGGAGGCCATTATCTTAAGTGAATTAACACAAACAAAAAACCAAATACCGCATGTTTTGGGGCATCTAAGTTGATTCCATGTCTTTGCTATTGTGAATAGTGCTGTGATGAACATACAAGTGCAGGTGTCTTTTTGATAAAACAATTTATTTTCTTTTGGGTATATACCCAGTAATGAGTTTGCGGAGTCTAATGGTAATTCTATTTTTAGTTTTTTGAGAAATCTCCAAATTGCTTTCCACAGGAGCTGAACTAATTTAGAATCCTACCAAAAAGTGTGAGTATTCCCTTTTCTCTACAACTTTGCCAACATCTGTTCTTTTTTGACTTTTTAATAGCCATTCTGACTGTGTGAGATGGTATCTCATTGTAGTTTTGATTTGCATTTCTCTGATGATTAGTGATATTGAGCAGTTTTTTATATGTTTGTTGGTCACTTGTACATCTTTTGAGAAGTGTTTGTTCATGTCCTTTACCCACTTTTTAATGGGGTTGTTTTTTCTTGTCAATTTATTTAAATTCCTTATAAGATTCTGGATTTGTCCCCTGTCAGATGCAAAGTGTGCAAATATTTTCTCCCATTTTGTAGGCTATTTATTCTATTGATAGCTTCTTTTGCTGTGCAGAAGCTTTTTAGTTTAATCAGGTCCCAATTTTGTCAATGTTTGTTTTTGTTGCATTTGCTTTCAAGGGCTGAGTTATAAATTCTTTGCCTGGTCGTCTAAATATTTTCCATCTTCATAGGCCACCCCTTTCCTAGACCTTTACTGAGGCTTCTGTTTGTTTGTTTGCACTTATTATTTATAGGTTGTCAGCTTCTTCAGCTCCAAGTCTAGGATATATCAGGCCGAAAGAAAGCCCAGAGTGCTCATCATCATATCGTTCATCAGGCCCAGAGTTCCCTAGCAGGCCTGCCTGCTCTGTTCATGTTTCTTTATCTTCTTGCACTTATTTTATGTATAATGTCCAGGGCTTTTAATTGCATTATAAAAGAGAAGTAAACAAAAGTACACCTACTCCATCTTCCCAGATTTGGAAGAACCACTTTTGCCCATTTTAAAAATTGAGTTTGTCTCATTGAGTTGTATGCATAAAAAGTTTTTTGACAAAATCTAACAATCGGTTATATTTAACTTGGTTTTATTACTTTTATGACTATGAGTTCTTTTTTAATATCTTTATTAAAAATTTTTTATTTCAGTCTGTGGTAAGTCTTTTTTAAGAGTGTCTTTTGAAAAGTAAATGAATGAATTTGTAATGAAGTACAATATATAATTTTATGTGTTTTTTGTGTCATATTTAAGAAATCTTCCCAAATAAATACAAGGTAATTAAAATTTGTGTCAATGTTTTTAAGGTTTTAACAATGTAGGTTTTACATATAGATCTGTGATCTTTCTTGTGTTATAATTCATTGCTGTGCATTTGTATATGCCATGAAGTGAGGATCAAGGGTCTTCCTCACCCATAATGATATTCCATTCTTCAAGCATCATTTGTCAAAACCTAAATGGCCATATGTATGTGGGTCTATTTCTGGACTCTATTCTGTTCCACTATTCTATACATCTGTCTTTAGACAAGTGTCACATTATTTGATTCTTGCAGCTTTATAATGATAGATTTAGAAATAGGTAGCAATATCTTCTCACTTGGTTCTTTTTCTTCAAAATAATTTTGGTTATTTTAGGTCCTTTGTATTTTAACATAAATTTAAAATCAGTTTGTCAATTTCTACAAAAAAAATGCCTGTAGATTTTTATTGCATTGAGTATAAATATCAATTTGGTAAGAAATAATGTTCGAATAATATTGAGTCTTCCAGTGCATGGGCGTGGACCCCATTCCATTCTGTTGGCAATGTTTTGTAGTTTTCAAAGCACAGGTCTTCATATCCTTTGTCAGTTTTCATATGCTTTGAGGTTAGGGTAAGTGGTATCCTTTTTTTTTTTGAAATGGAGTCTTGCTGTCACCTAGGCTGGAGTGCAGTGCCATGATCTCAGTTCACTGCAACCCCCACCTCCCAGGTTCAAGCAATTCTCCTGCCTCAGCCACCCGAGTAGCTGGGATTACACGCATGCACCACCATGACAAGCTAATTTTTGTATTTTTTGTAGAGACAGGGTTTCACCATGTTGGACAGGCTGGCCTCAAACTCCTAACCTCAAGTGATCCACCCTCCTCGGCCTCCCAAAATGCTAGGATTACAAGCATAAGCCACTGTGCCTGGCTGGTATTTGTTTTTAATTTTAAATTGTGGGCCAGGCACGGTGGCTCATGCCTGTAATCCCGGCACTTTGGGAGGCCATAGAGGGTGGATCACCAGGTCAGGGGTTCGAGACCAGCCTGGGCAATATGGTGAAAGCTTATCTCTATTAAAAATACAAAACATGAGCTGGGCATAGTGGATCATGAGGTGAGGAGTTTGAGACATGCCTGGCCAATATGGTGAAACCTTGTCTTTACTAAAAATACAAAAACTAAGCTGGGCATGGTGGCACACACCTGTAGTCCCAGCTACTCAAGAGGCTGAGGCAGGAGAATCACTGGAACCCAGGAGGCAGAGGTTGCAGTGAGCCGACATCATGCCACTACACTCCAGCCTGGGCAACAGAGCAGAACTCCATCTTAAAATAAATAAATAAATAAAATGTCTTTAAATTGTGATCGTTTATTGTAAGCATATAAAAATAAAGGGTTTTTTTTTCATATTGATCTTGAACTCTGCAACTTTGCTAACTCATTTATTTGTTCTAATAGTTTTTTGTAGATGTTTAGGATTATCTGCATAGTTGATTTTATCATCTGCCAATAAAGACAGTTTACTTATTCCTTTTCAATCTTTTATTTCCTTTTCTTTCTTCTTGTGCTGGCTTAGAACCTCTAACAAAATGTTCAACTGAAGTGGTGAGAATGGACATTCTTGCGTTGTTCTGTATTGTGTGGAGAAAGTATTCAGTTTTCACCATTAAATATGTTATTAGTTGTATGTGGGGTTTTTTTGTAGCTGTTCTTTATTAGGTTAAGTTCCTTTTATTGAAAGTTTGCTGAGAGGTTTGTTATTATTTTTACTATAACTACATGTTAGATTTTGTCAAATGCTTTCTATACATTTATTGAAATGATCATGTCATGTTTTCTTTTTTGTTAATAAGATGTCAACAAGGTGAATTACACTGTTTGATTTTCAAATAGTTAATGAGCTTTTCATTTCTGACATTATATTTTTATGTACCTATTGAGATATTTTTCACTTCTATTTTGTTAATATAGTGAATTGCATTGATTTTCTTGTTAAATTTGTGTATATTCATGGGGTACCAGCACCATTTTGTTACATTCATATATTGTATTGTGATGAGGTCAATGCCTTCAGTGCATCCATCACTGGAGCAATACACATTGTACCCACTAAGCAACTCCATCATTACCTGCCTTCCACTCACTCCCATCCTTCCGAGTCCCCACTGCTCATCATTCCACACCTAGATTCCATGTGTACATGTTACTTAGCCCCCACTTGGGAGTGAGAACCTGTGGTATTTGTGTGTCTGAGGTGTTTCACTTAACATAATGGCCTCCAGTTCCATCTTTGTTGCTTCAAATGATGTTATTTCAGAATACATTTATTTTTGAAAAGAGACTTAGAAGTTATCCTTTGTGGGCAGGGGATTAAGATAAAGGCCACTCATAAAATGAGATCTTCCTTTTTCAGTTAGAATCATGCCATCCAGGAGTCACAGAAGACAAGTGGCAGCACCTGAAGCAAGCTGGGCACAGTTTCTGTAATTGGCAGCAGAGCCCAAGTAGTAAGTAATTAGAAATATGTGAAAGAACATTTTATGAAAGTTATTTAATCATTGGACTCTCTAAGATCAAAACAATGAACAACTCTATGGTCCTACCTGCTCTGTGTCATTGATCATGCTGTGGGTCTGGCGAACAGGACTCATATGAGTCACTATTAAAAAAATCAGTCCCTTATTCAATTCCATGGCCTGAGTCAATTCATAGACTTAGAGCCTCTGGAATAAAGGGAAAATCAGGTAGACATTGAGTAAGAATAGTAAGATAACACAAATGTATACTGAGAGTCTTCTTCCTTGCCATAGCCAAGAGGACTAGAGACCAGAATAACTGATGATTAAGAAAATGAAAATACCAGAACCATTCAGAAATAATTAGACTCTAGCTGTGAGTAAGCACTTCTGGGAAACTCTAGAGTGCACTATGATCCATTTGTCAAAGTGTGGACTTAGAAAATGTCCTTCCCATCTCTGTAACTTTGGACTTTGTTAATTTAGAGGTTTTAGAATTCAAGACGAAAAGACTTCTAGCAGGGGTTGCAGCAACACTTCCATTAAGCCGAAAGTAGAAAATTCCAGCCGATAATTTTGACCTCTTCATGCTGCTGGATAAACAACCAAAAAATTATTGCATTGGTTGATGTAATTTGTTCTAACTTTCAAGAGGAAAAAGGGGTGCTGCTGCAATAACAAGAACAAGAAGGAATATTTCTGGAACCAGAAGGTGCATGAGAGAAACTCCTGGATAATATTGTACTGGGAATAGTCTTAGCGGGAATGTAAATCGAGATGTAAAAGGAAGTTCCACGATCCTTTTCTTACCTCCCCAACAACTAAGGAGTGTGTACATGGTCTAAGCCTAGCTGATCAGAAAACTTTCTCTCTGTCTCTCTCTTTCTCTCTCTCTCTCTCTTTCTCTCATCTTTTAGTCAAAGATGCTAGGATGAAAGAAATGGTCAGAGCTCAGTCATTCTAGCTGGCTATGCTGCAGAGAAAACCACTAGATGCCCACTAATATCCATGCTCCCATCTCTCACAAGCAAACCTTCGTCAACATTGAACAATACATCTCAGACGATTAGGAGAAAAAGAAATAGGCTTACTTGTTCTTACAGCCACTAACGTGGAGGGTTTCTCTCACAATCCTAATACATACTCTAATGATCAATTAACTTCTATCTTGATCTTAGGCCTGGTGTCCAATCTTTGTGCCAATTCAGTGATTTCTATAACCAATATGATAATTACAAATGTAATTACCCTTGGGTAAATGAATATCACAATCAGTCTTCAGCCATTGCATTAGCAGAAAGGAAATTAGTTGACAGTCCACTGAAAACAATGCTCTGTCATAGGAGATGCAAGTGTTGCAGAGATTACTGGTTGTTGCCAAATCTGTTTTCCCCTTCTCCTGCAATAATAAATCCCCCACTTCTGCAGAACACATGGCTATTCAGCGTTTCTTGAAACGAGGTATACGACTAAGTCCTGGCCAATGGAATGTAAGCAGAAGTGATTTGTGTGGCTTTCCAATTGTGCTCTTAAAAGACGGGAGAACACCCTCTCCTTACTCTGTCTGGAAAATAAATATGGTATGTGATATGCTATACTAGTGCATCAGGGTGGCACAGCAAAGACATTAATATGTGTATATATTACACATATATACTAATGTGTGTATATGTGTATATATATATATACATATACACACATATATACAGCCTGACACCATGGACTGCTATGAGAGAAAAACTTCTATCTTATTTAAAACACTTATCACAGTGAGCAGTGAGGGGGGTCTCATTAGAACAATCAAACCAATGTCTTAATTAATGCACACGTGTTTTCAGCATAAAACGGACATGTGAAAGGGACACTCAAATGCATGGATTAGGTGTCAGGAGAAGGGCTCTGTCTTCCTCAGGGCCACTTACTTGCTAGGTGAGTTGGGCAAGTGCATTCCCTTGTCTGGATCTCAACTCCCCCATTGGTAAATGCAGCCCCTGACAGCCTGAACAGCCAAGTCTAAGATGAGAACATGCCATGCCAACAGAACAATGAAAAAGAAAGTGTAGGCACAAGCAAGTCCTGCCAAAGGGGAACAAATCCTCGGAAAACATCTCTTGAAATGCATGTAGTGGGGCAACTCCATGCCCTTTCATGTATTTATTTATTTATTTTGCCTTGGTGTTATTCTCCAAGACATTTGTGTTTTTTAATAAATCTTACACATTCAGTGCCAAACTTCCATCTGCCTCCTCCTGCTGAGAAGTCATAATGCCATATTTATGACACCAGCCTCTGTTTCCATGGGGATGATTGTATCAATGTAATTCCAGCATTATGACTTCTGTGTACATTTGAGAAGATGGTGAAAGCAATGAAAAATTTTCAAGTGTATACATTTATTGTTATCCTGATAACTCACAGGAATGATACTGCTGAAAATAGACTTGGAATCAGACAGATGTCCACTAAAGAATGAGGTCATTCTTTTCTGATGGCTGAAAACCACATTTAACCCCTAGATCCTTCCTTCTTGAAATCTTTGGTCTGCTTTATTTTTAATTTTTTGTTTTAGTTTTTAATATGACATAATTTGCATTAGGTATCTGTAAGGCTTTTATCTGCTCATTGCCTTAATCTTTCATCTGTATGGGAACTACATTAAACTCATCCTGAATAATGGCCTCTATTATTTAAATCCATTATTCAAATTCAATTTTTCTAGGAAGCTATCACTCCTACTCCATCTGTAAATGTGGAAACTTAAATGTAAAGGTCCTTCCTCAAATTTTCCACAGGAAAAAAAAATGTCATCCTTTTAAATGCATGCTTCATGCATTGCACACTCTGTAAGAAGGCAATTTTAAACAACCTCTTTCTTTACAACATCAAAATTGAGATTTTAAAAAATTTTGCTGATTACAATAGTAATTCATGTTTACTGTGAAGAAAATCAAACACGGAAGAATTTGAAGTAGAAAGTAGCTACCCAACATTCTATCCAAAATTGCTATGCCCCACAGAAACATTGTTTTATTTCTATATTTTTCTAAATGTTTAAATCGAAAAAAATGAATATTTACACAAATTGAATTATATGATTCTGCTGCAGACAGTTTTCCAAAGATGGTCACAACAATATCCCTCATCCTGCATGCTTTTCTGCAAGTTTCTTGCCACTCTCCCATCAAGAAATGTTATTTCACCATCTCCCTGAATCTCAGCAGGATTTTGGATTGCTTCGATCAATAGAATAGAGCTAACATAAAGTTATACTAATTCTGTGTATAGCCTTTAACTGGCCTGGCAACTTCTACTTCCTGCTTTTTGGAAAGCAGACATATTAAGAAGTAGGACTACCCTGAGACCACCATGCTAAGAGGAACTGGAAGATGAGATTCCTTTGTTGAGAAGTAAAGAAGTTAAAGTGCACTAAAGCACTAGACACGCTTTTCAGATGCACGCTTTTGTTTGTTTTTGGGTTGGTTTGTTCCTTGATTCCACTCTTACCTACATACATATCAACACACACAACCTGTAAGACTTGTAAATGAAGAAGCCATCTTGGAAACGGTCCTTCTGTCCCAGCTGACCCCGCTGACTATAACAAAAACCACCCAACCAAGCCCCTCTTTGAGTGCTGCTCTATTAAACCAGAACCAGAATGAAAGAGTTACTTTAAGCCCTTAAGTTCTGGCATTGTTTGTATCATTAGCATTTAAATAACCAAAACACATGGCTTGAGCATTTTTTAATTTTAAAACAAATTAAATGCATCTCACCTATTTCAGTAGCTCTCAGAGTATTCTATCATATGCATTTACCCTATGTTAGCTCAGCCTCAATAGATGTACTTTTAGACTATTTTCCATTTTTATTATGCCGTAGCAAATATTTCTTTACATTTATCTGTATGTATCTGATTGTTTTCAAGGATAAATTCTCCTAAGTCTTATCACTGGGCCAAATGAGACTTCAAATATTACATCTTGATATCTTCAGTCTGATTATATTTCAGAAATGTATGGATTTATTCTTACACCAGGAGCATATGACTTTCTCCCACATCTTCATCATCATTGGATTTTATCAATCTTTACAATTTTAGCCAATCTGCTGATATAGACATAGTTTCATTTGTATTGTTCATTTCTTATATTTGGTAAGTTGCTTACTTATCAAGTATAAACCATTTCAAAATCATTTTAAAGCTTAGACTCATATAATTTTAAATAGAAATATGCACTACGTAGATTGTATATAGCATATAATGTATACATTATTGCTACTCACCAGTATTTCCGTATTTTTGTTCCCTTCCAGAGCAGCACAAGAGGAACAGATTTCCCTGACTCCTTGAGCTTATCTACGACCATGTGCTTTGATTTGGGGGTTGCGGGGGAGGCAGAACAAGTTAACATGCATCAATTCCAGATGAAAACCTTTAATTGCTGGTACATAATTCTTTATGTTCTCTCTTCCCCTGCTGTAGCCATGTAAAAACATGTGTGGATAGAAAAACTCCATAAGACCTAAATGGCCTGGAAGATGAAGCCAAACCATTGAGTAAATTTCCTGGAGAGTCTTCCAGACACTAAGGCTTCATGTGAGCAAGAAATAAATGTTTGTTACATTAACACATTGTGATATGGAATTGTTTAAGAATAAGAATAATCTAACTTACCCTGACTGATATATACACGTATGATCATAGACACACCTTTCAAATGCAGACTTGATGGGTTGGCTGGTTGGTTGGTTAGCTGGTTGGTTTGTAAGCTGCTTGACTCTACCCTTACCTACACATGTATCGACGCTCATGACATAGGTCATCTTGGTAGAAGAGTTTTAAAATCTGATATGTAATTTTTCCTTTATGCTCATAATCCTATACAAATATTCACAGGAATGTATATATGTAAAGTGTGATACTAGTCTTTGTTTTATGAAAAGAAAGTAGACTATTTTACACCAGTCTCTGTATCTCATATTTCTTATTCAGTAAGTGGTACCCGTCTTGCAGCTCTAATTCACTCATTTTACTGATTGCCCAGTAGAATGCAGTATGCATGATGCAGTATAATTTATTCAACCAGTATTCCCCCACTGTGGGCATCCACTTTGATCTAGCTTTGTGGCATTAAAACCAATGCTGCAATAAACATTTTTGTGCATTAATACATCCCTTAATACATCTACTTTTATGTCACTTTTTTTTTTTAGGGCAGAGTCTGGCACTCTCAGTCCAGCTGGAGTGCAGAGACACGATCATGGCTCACTGCCACCTCCATCTCCCACCTCAGCCTCCCAAGTAGCTGGGACTACAGGCACGTGCCACCATGCCTGGCTAATTTTTGGTTTTTTTTGTAGAGACAGAGTCTCCCTATGTTGCTAGGCTGGTCTCAAACTCCTGGGCTCAAGTGATCCACCCTCCTCAACCTCCCAAAGTGGTGTGATTATAGGCACGAGCCGCCATGCCCAGCCATCTGCTTTTATTTCTATTGGCGTTCTCAGGACAGGCCTGATAAGGTTAAAGGATACATGCGTTTTTATTTTTCATACATGCCACAAAATTACTTTAGCCAAAGGCTATGGCATTGCACATTTCCACCAGGAATATGAGAGTATTATATTCTTACATCCCTAAGAGAATAAGTATTGTAGCTCTTTCCAATGAATGCTGGAATCTCACTGTTCCTTAAATCTGAACTCTCTTGGCTACCAGCGAATTTAAGCATCTTTTTCTACATGTGTGGCCATTTAAATGTGTTCTGCTGTGGTTTTTTGTTAGCCAGTTTTTTAACAATGTTGTGGTTTTCAGGTCAATTTGGAGAAGCAGTTTGAATAACATAGACAATTTACTCCTATCTGTCATTTGCGTGACACTACTTTTTCTTCATCTATTTGTCCATTGATTTTAACTGCTTCTTTAGCCACACAAAGGTCATTACTTTTTTTTTTCTTTTTTCTTTTTCTTTTATAGATAGGAAGCTCACTCTGTTGCCCAGGCTGGAGTGCAGTGGCACAATCATAGCTCGCTGCAGCCTCAAACTCTTGGGCTTAAACAATCCTCCCACGTAATTGGGATCACAAGCGCATGCCACCACACTAGACATTATCATTTCCTTTATAGTGTCTAAGTTTCTTGCCCTAGTTGAGAAACTCCCTGATGCCCATGTTGCAAGATTTTCTTAAAAGAGTTTTTGTTTGGTTGGTTTGTTTTTCACACTTGAGCATTTCAATAATAAGAAATCTATTTTCTTTTTTAAATTAAGATGTTATTTATATAAAATAAATTGCATCTATTTTAAGTGTACAATTTGATGACTGTGGTAATTGTATAAGATCAATAAATCACAGTTAAGATTTGAAACAGTTCCCCTACCATGTTTTCCTCTCCCCTTTATTCCTCCATCCCCTTCCAGGAAATCACTGACCTGCTTTCCATTGTGACAGCTTTGCCTTTTTCTAGAATTTTGTATAAAGGGAATCACTCAGTATAGACTTCTGTTTGATTTATTCCACTTGGCATAAAGATGTTTTTTAAATTCATCCATGATTTTGAGTAAGTTAATCTTTTGTTGCTGCTTGTTACATACCTACTATACATAGAGAAATCACAATTTGTTAATCTATTCACCAGTTTGTGTCTGTTATAAATTATCTGCTATAAACATTTATGTACATGTCTCTGTGAACATGAATTTATTTCTCTTGGGCAACTACCTAGGAATGGAGCTTTTGGGTCATAAGGGTGTCATGAAGTTCAGGATACTACCAAATCTTGTTTTCCAAAGTGACTGAACTATTTTGCATTTTAACCAGCGATGAGTGAGCCTTACAATTATTTTACATCTTCATCAACACTTGGTATTGTCAGTATTTTTTATTTGAGCCATTCTAGTAGGCAAGTCATGGTAGTTTTTAATAAGCTCTGATGACTAGTGATGTTGAATCTTTTCATATGCTATTGGCCATTCACACATATCTTTATTGGTAAGATATCTGTTCACAAATTTGGTCCTTGTGTTAAAAAGATCTTCTGCCCCCTCCTTTTTCTTGGGGGACGGGGATGGAGTCTTGCTCTATCACCCAGGCTAGAGAGCCGTGGCATGATCTCTGCTCACTGCAACTTCCGCCTTCCAGGTTCAAGCAATACTTATGCCTCAGCCTCCCAAGTAGTTGGTACTATAGGCACGTACCACCACACCTGACTAATTTTTGTATTTTTAGTAGAGTTGGGGTTCAGCATATTGGCCAAGCTGGTCTCAAACTCCTAACCTCAGGTGATCCGCCCACCTCAGTCTCCCAGAGTGCTGGGATTACAGGCCTGAGCCACTGCACCTGGCCAATTCTGCCCATATTTATTGAGTTCTTTTGCTTCTTATTCTTGAGCTATGAGTTTTTTGTGTATTCTAGGTACAAGTTGTTTGTCCCATGTATGTTTGCAAAAATTTTTTCTCCCAGTCAATGGCTTGCTTTCTTTTCTTAACTGTGTTTCTTAAAATCTAAAAGCTTTTCATCCAAATGAAGTCTGTTTTATCAATTTTTAATTTATATTTTATGCTTTATGTGTCTTACAAAGATTTTCTCCAGTGTTTTCTTTCAGAAGTTTTATAGTTTTAGCTCTTCGTTTAGGTCTATGATCCACTTGGAGTTAATTTTTGGTTTAATGTTAGGTAAGGGTGTTAGTTCATTATTTTTTTTGCACATGAATGTACAACTGTTCCAGTACCATTTATTGAAAAGACAATGCCTTCCCCATTGACTTGTCTGGGCACTCAGTTGACCATATATGTAATTTGGATCTATTTCTGGACTCTATTCTGTTCTATTGTTCTATATGACCATCTTTTGTTGTTGTTGTTGAGACAGAATCTCGCTCTGTCACCCAGGTTGGAGTGCAGTGGTGCCATGTCGCAACCTCCATCTCCCAGGTTGAAGGGATTCTTGTGCCTCAGATTCCCAAATAGCTGGGATTACAGGTTCTTGCTACCATACCCAGCTAATTGTTGTGTTTTTAGTAGAGATGGGGTTTTACCATGTTGGTCAGGCTGGTCTCGAACTCCTGACCTCAAGTGATCCACCCACCTCAGCCTCCCAAAGTGCTGAGATTACAGGCATGAGCCACTGTGCCATGCCTATGACTATCTTTATGCCAATCTTGATTGCTATAGATTTACAATAAGTCTTAAAATCAGATAGTTTAGGTCTTCTGAATTGATTCTTCTTTTTCAGATTATATTAGCTATCTAAGTGCTTTTTATGTAAATTTTAAAATCTACTTGTCAGTTTCTTCCAAAAGCCTATTGGTTTTTACTCTTCTCAGACCCAGGAGCATCCCAGATGCAGAGTGCAGAACTGGGGTGATGTGATACTGAGGGAGCTCAGGGCAGATGGAATAACAAGGAAGAGATTTGCCTTCCTGCTTGAAGCATCTAACAAATCTTACAAAGTATATTGAAAAAGTGTCTCAAGACACCGGACATCAGGTAAAGATGAGCAGGGATTTCTGAGAGATGGGATACAAATTTGATGAGCCCTACCTTTGAGTTGCTCTCCAAGCTATGGCCCAGAGAGTATTTCCACACACAGCACACAAACAGGCAACCCTGAACACAAGGGTCTGCCAAAGCTGAACTAGG